CTTAGATAAACCAGTCATTGAAATGACCTAGGTGACGTCGGTAGCTCAAGATTTTTTTTTATTTGAAACTTTGTAGTATGTACGCGAGTTATGAAATGTAGTAATGACAAAAATATCAATATCCTTATAACTTTGTTTTTGAATAAAAACAAAATTGAATAATCCAAATAACTTTTGTTCAAGACCAAATACTCCATTGTTTCAAAATAAAACGTCATTTTAGGATAATTTTTTTATATTTTAAAACATGTCGTTTTAGAATTTAATGTGATGTTCTTTTTTTATATAGTTAAATAATCGATTAAAAAAGAAGAGATCAATGGAATTAAATTGCTTTTTTAACATTTATAGCAAAAGAAAAAAACTCATATATGTAAAAATTATGCAAGAGATGCGCTATTCTTAGAAATAATAACGATACTCACGTGAACAATATTTTTTAAAGTTGTGTTAATTAGTACAAAACTTATCCATTATTCTTAAGGATAATTGCATGCATGATTAATATTATTATTCATAGTAGTATTTGGCGTCATGTACTCTCTCCACGTGACAGCAAGATCTAATCTAAAACAGATACCGGTAAGTAGATCACCTTACGGTTACACGTGTCTTCTCGCTGTTGGGTTAAAATCTTGCCGACAACAAATTAGAGTAGGACCCATGTGCGTAATGAGGACCACGAGGCAACGGTGCTCCTTTACTCTCCCGTCCTTTCTTCTTTTGTTTAATTACGATGCTTAGATTTGTTAATACATCACATTTCTGTGCAATCAATAAGTTGCTAATACATCACTGTTGTGCAATTAATCTAAATCAATTACATACAAATCTGGTTATAAACAAACAAATAACATGAAAATTTTAGTAGAACAGTGTGAAGTGCTGCTATGAATGGCCGTGTTATAAACGAATGTTCCAAGCGTTCACATATGGCAAGAGAGGAACCGAATACGGCATGTGGGGAAATTGCGCAAACGAAAATTTTACTACTCAATCTGATCGACAAAAGCGTGAGGAACCACATCAATTCAATCCGAGCCACATGAAACCACGTTTATGGTGAAGGGATAGGGAATAAATAAATTCTTTATTATGGAACAAATATTTGTTAGTAAAAGTAATCAAAACTCGTATTAGTCTACAACCTATAAAGTTATATGGACCATATTCAAAATATATAATATAATGTTCATAGCTTGTCGGATATTTATCAAAAAAACTATGTTCTCCTTCGCTATGTGAAAGAGAGAAAAAAGTGTTCATTTTTTTTTTAAGTATATATTTTGTCCCATTTTGTATCTTGTAGTTATTTTATAAACGACGTAGATCAATAATCTCAAAATCGTATGATGAAAATTTAGAAAAATTTCAAAAAATGTCATTTTTCAAGTGATATTTTACAAAAATGTCACATTTTTGAAATCTTTACAAAAATCCCACTTTTTCAAAATTATTTTTTTTTATATTATTTATGTTTGGGTTAATTATAATCTATTAAAA